CCCCCCCCCCTCTCTCCCTCCCCCCCTCTCCCACACACACACACACACACACACACATACACACAGAGACAAACAAAAACTAAATTTCTGGTCTGAGTGGTTAGTGCCACCCATGACAGGAGCAGGGAGACCAATCATCCACCCTGGGTGACTACGATAGAAGAGCAAGGGCTCCTTGCCAGAGGATCATTGGGACAATACTATGTCACCTAGTTTTTCCAAAACAAAGAGATTTTTAGAAAATGTGTGGAGATGTAGCTCAGTGATAGAGTACTTGCCTACCATGCCTGGACCCATAGATTCCATCCCCAGCACTCCCAAAAGAAGGTTTTCACTGAAGGTTCGCATTATGGAGACTTAGGAGTACAGATCTGTCACCCTGGTTAGTGTTGTGGGGAAAGAGGAGACACTGCTCTTTTGGACAAAGGAGGGAGGATATCTTAGGGTTTTTGAGGGGTAGGCTCAGGCTGCCATAATGCCTTTCTGTGTCTGTTGGAGTTTTTACATGGCAAGGAGGGATGACCTTGTGATCTCACAAGGTCACTGACTTGTAAATTTCACTTTGCAAATGTCCATCCATGAAAAGTATATTTTGAACCATCTTTGGGTAAATTCTGGAGGCTTTTTCACTGAATGAACTTAAGCAGGTTGTTACTTAAAGAATTTATGGCCATATAGCTGAATTCAAGGGGCCCTAGTTCAAGCCTTAGGCTTCTTAGTGAGCTGGTGCAGGACAACATGTTCCAGAAGCTGTCAGTGGACAGTGAAGGCGGTACCTTTCAGGAGTGTCTGGGGTCTGAGCTCCTAGATACTGGCTGTAGGAGCACAGAGCGGTGTCAACAGCCAGGCCCAGCAGCTGAGCTCCCATCCAGAGGTCCCAACAGCAGGGGGCAGCTGCACTGGTGGGTTCCCTGCCCCACTTCAGGCTGGAGCTGGATCCTAGATATCAGCTTCAGAAGCCCTTGTGTCCTCAATGTAGATACAGGCTGAGCTTTCAGCATTGAGAGGTACAGGACACCCCACTCCCACCCCCACCCACACACACACACACACACACACACACACACACACACACACACACACACACACACACACACACAAGAAAGTGTACTTAGGGTCTCTGAGAAGTATGGTTTCAGTTGGCTTTCCTCCTGGTATCACACTTTCTCCTGGAGGTTTCCAGAGCCTCATGGAACATTCTGTCAAATGGTGAGACTCCCGAGTTAATGTTTAATGAAAAAGCACAAACTGGACAAGAGTGGGGGCATGGGAACCTAAGCTGCTCCTCTCACTGTCACAGTCATTTATTGAGTTTTTAAATACATGTTCTGGTTGACAGTTGCTGCTGTCGCCTATGTTAGTAGTCATAATCGCATGGCCACCTTCCCCTTGTGATTTCTTTTTCCTCTGTAAATTAAGTCCATCAGTGCTCCTCTGCTTAGGATTACCTTTAAATGCTTAACTCAGAGAGAGGGTCGATAGACCTCTTTAAATGACCTTTAAAGGACTTTATAATATCCACTACATGCAAATGACCACATGGAAAGCTCACCGCCGGAACTTTTACATCACTCATTTCACTTCCTAATTAATCATACTTATTTTTGAAATCTGTGTCATTTGGTGGGAACGGTGCACATGCTGCCTGGGGGAGGCACACAGTGATAAAGGCACTGTTTAGCCAGTCTGAAAAACCATGACACAAGCATTGCCTTCAGATATCAGTTTATAAACGATTTCACAGCGTAAAATTTGTATTTGTACAGGGTACTTATGTAAAGTTTATTTTTTGATAGCTGTGAAACAGTTCAAATACTCAGGTTTTATATAACAAGGTTAAACTGGATTCCCAGGTTTCCCTTCCACCTCACCCCACCCCAAGTAATTAGTTAATTAAGGTCACACCCAGTAAATGCCTCTCTGGAAGACTTCTGAGCCTCCTTTGGGGTAGCCTGGTCTACACTGACAGGCCATATGGCATATGCAGTGGTCTGCTCTGGGCCCTTCTGTGTGGGAAATAGGACAAGGGACAATGTCAATCTTGTCCTTGTTCTTTTCATAATACAAAGCAATTCCTATAGGGGAAAAAAGCCTCCAAAAAACAAAGGAACAGAAGCTATAAAATACTTAACATTTCACTATGACTAGGAGGACATTTTTGCAGTAGTTTGAAGTTGTGACTATAATCATCATGCAAGCTAGAAATTTTTAAAATATGACTGTATGATACCAAATTATTGCTACCTAACAAATTATTGTTATCTACCAAATTATTATTTTCACCATTCAGCTCTTTTGTTTGGCAAAATGACACATAAAGTTTAAAACAAACTGTACAAGGGAAGAAAGGGATGTATCTGTTCATTGTTTCAGCATTTCATTCATTTCCCCCTTGGCTGAGCCTTGTAAATCCAAGAGCAGAGAGAAGCCAGCATTTTGCTGGTTGCTGAGCTGGGAATGCCGGAGACTGAGTCAGACAGACAGAGATCCTGGATGTGATCTGTGTGGTCTTTGGAGGCTGTTCCCTTTTATTTTGCATTTCAACAGAGGGATTACATGCCTCTGGGCTTTTGTTGTTCAACCCTCATGCTGTTTCTTTATATTTACTTTTATTGTTATACAGTTTATTGGATTTAGGATTTGATATTTGTTGGAGATACAGCCCACCATTAACAAAACTGTAATGCAACACAAAAATGCAGGTCTGTTCAACAATCTGAACTGCTCCCGAATCCTGGAAAGCTCTGTGCATGTACTTCTAAACCTTTTCCTTTGCCTGTACCCTCTGGTACATTAATAGTGTCCAATTAATAGTGTCAATGTTCATATGAAAGTGAGTTAATAAAGATTTAGATAGAAAAACAGTTCATTTCTTCCAGAATGTTTTGGTTTCCTTTCCTGTTTCTGTGATAAAATGTCCCAACAAAAGCAATTTGGGGTAAGGAGAGTTTGTTCTGGCTCTC